GAAAGAATTGTTTTGGTTTAAATACTGTTGTCCTTTAAGCATCGTACCCATGTCTATTACTTTTTAACTTTGTAGCCACAAGTAGCTGCAGTTGATGAAGCTGCTGCCAGAGCAGGACTTTCTGTCTCTGTTTACTTAAGCCTGCAAAATGTTCAACTCTGTCTAGAAGAAGGTTATGTAGAGGGTAGGAAAGCATATCTGGGGAAGCATAAAATGGAAACGATGGAGGCTTTCTATAATGATTACAATGTATTTCTTAAAATATGACATAGTTCTTTTTTCTTTTTTTTTTTTTTCTTTTTTTTTTTTTTTGGTTTTTTGAGACAGGTTTCTCTGTAGCTTTGGAGCCTGTCCTGGAACTAGCTCTGGTCGACCAGGCTGGCCTGGAACTCACAAAGATCCACCTCCCTCTGCCTCCCAAGTGCTGGGATTAAAGGTGTGCACCACCACCGCCCACCGCCCGGCATGACATAGTTCTTAAAAGTCAAAAATAATAGCAGGGCTGGAGAGATGGCTCAGCGGTTAAGAGCATTGCCTGCTCTTCCAAAGGTTCTGAGTTCAATTCTCATCAACCACATGGTGGCTCACAACCATCTGTAATAAAGTCTGGTGCCCTCTTCTGGCCTTCAGGCATACACGCAGAAAGAATATTGTATACATAATAAATAAATAAATATTTAAAAAAAACAAAAATAATAGCAAATAATAAAGCTGTTCAGGCAAGCCTGGTAGGAAAAAAAAAACTCTGTTAAAGTATAAATAAAAACATCTTAAGCTATTTGGGACCACTTGAGTGCGCTCCACCGGGTAGTTAGAATCTTTCTTTGCACCAATGCCCCTTCCTCGTCTCAGAACCTGAACCTGAGCCAAGGCTAGACCCTGGGCACATGACCAAAACCAGTTTGAAGTGAAAATGGTGTATTTAGTTTACAAATTACAGAAGCCAAGACAGGAACTCAAGATAGGGACCTAAAGACAGGAACTGAGGCAGAGACCACTGACGAATGCTACTTACTACTCGATCCCAACTATGTTTATACCACCCAAAACTGCATGCCTAGAAGCGACACCAGCCACAGTGGGCTGGGCAGTGTCTTCCCACATCAACCATTAGTCAAGACAATGTCCCATGGACAAGCTCACAGGCCAATCTAATGGAGGCTGTTATTCGGTTGCAGTCCACTCTTCCATGGTGATTCTAGTTTGTGTTAAAAAACAAGTCAGAACACCCACTAAGTGAGACATCCCTCTCTAATATGTATGTTCTGATTTGTTAAACAAGTGAAGTAACTATTCAAAGAGTAAACTCAATTTCTTAAAAGAAAATTAAAACTTGCAACATAATATAGCAACTACATAAGCAATGTTCATTCATTTTTAAACATAAGAACTCACACTAATCTAAGAAAAGTCCCCTTGCAACGAATGGTGACAATTACAGAAAATCACAACAATCAGGTCTATGGTGTCGCACACCTTTAATCCCAGCACTCGGAAGGCAGAGGAATGTAGATTTCCAAGTTAGAGGTTAGCCTAGTCTATAGCATGAGTTCCAGGACAGCCAGGGCTACACAAAGAAACTCAGAAAACAAGGGAAGGAAGAAAGGATGGAGGGAGGGAGGAAGGAAGGAAAGAAAGAAAGAAAGAAAGAAAGAAAGAAAGAGAAGGGAAAACCATAACAGATCAAAATGCAGGGAACAAATAGCAAAGTGGTATACAGTCCTGTCTGTTGATACATTGACCACACAATCCCTGTACCTGGGCTCAGGAAGCACAGTGGAAGTGGGAGCAGAAAGACTGTAAAGGCCAGAGGGAAAGAAATTCATTGTGAAAGCGCATACCAGGAATGTCAGAGAAGTTATGTCCATTAAGTCTTACCAATATGACTGCCTAAAGATGACCAGAAAAGAGACAACACAAAGAGATAAAGTTTGTGAGACCTTGTAGTGGTTTGAAAGAAAATAGCCCCCAAAGGGAGTGGGACCATTAGGAGGTGTGGCCTTGATGGAGTAGGTGTGGTCTTGCTGAGGAAGTGGGTGTCTCATATATGCTCAAGACACTGTCCAGTGTCTCAGATCACTTCCTGTTGCCTGCAATGTGTAGGGCTCTCAGCTCCTTCTCCAGCACCGTGTCTGCCTCCATGCCACCATGTCTCTCCATGATGATAATGAACTGAACCTCTGAAACTGTAAGCAAGGCACCCCAATTAAATGTTTTCCTTTATAAATGACTTGCTGTGGCCATGTTGTCTCTTCACAGCAATAGAAATCCTAACTAAGACAAACCTTAACCCTAACGAAGAATTTCAGACAACTAAGGGTTGTGAGTTTTTGTTTGTGTTCTGACAAATAGAGCTTGCACGGAGATCAGAGGGAGATCTAGCCACTAGCTAGCCACAGAGGTCTGGAGATCCGTACAGAGAGGAGAATGCAGCACCGAGAGAGGACGTGATAAGGCAGGGCATATACAGGATCTCGGCCCCTCTTTGTCTCAGGATTCAGAGGAAGTAAGAAGTCTCTGGTAGCTTCTGCTCTGCTTCTCTGATCTTTCGGCTTTTACCCCGATATCTGACTCTGGATTTTTATTGATTAAGACTATTAGGATCATGCTTCAACTAAGGAACACTCAGTGGGAGAAATGGACATCCAAGGGAAGAGCCCCCAATTGGTTGTCCAGAATTAAGTGGTCAGCCCTGAAATCATATACATACAAGTAACATTACACAAACTGAGAAGGTTGTATCCATATATTTAGGATATATGTATGTGTGCACGTGCGCATGTGTGTATGTGTGTGTGTGTATGTGTGTGTGTACAATAACAAAAAAGGTAGAAGTTATGAATCTGAGAGAGAATGGGATGGGAAGATGCCTAGGGGAGGTTGGGGTGAGAAAAAAGAAAGGCGAAGCAGGATAATTTTATTTTTTTATTTATTTTTTTAATATTTATTTATTTATTATGTATACAATATTCTGTCTGTGTGTATGTCTACAGGCCAGAAGAGGGCACCAGACCTCATTACAGATGGTTGTGAGCCACCATGTGGTTGCTGGGAATTGAACTCAGGACCTTTGGAAGAGCAGGCAATGCTCTTAACCACTAAGCCATCTCTCCAGCCCCAGCAGGATAATTTTAATTTAAAATTTAAACGAAGTTTTAAAGGAAAAGCAGCTCCCCATGAGCCTAAAAGCAGGCCACTGAACAGCATCCCCTATTTTTCTTAGCTTTGTCTCTGCCCCATCGTCCTGCCGTGAGTTCCTGTCCTACCTTCCCCCGTGTCAGACTAGAAGCTGGAAGATGAAACTTCTCTTGCCAAGGTGCTTTTGGTTGGTATTTTAACAGAGAGCAACTGGACAACCACCCCACTAAAACAAGGACAAGAGTGCTGAAAAGCTCTAGGATGGTTGTGTTGAGGGACGCCGGATAGACACCTCCACAATTATAAAATATTTCACCCACATCCAAACATTTTAGCTCTTAAGCCATATAAAAGTCATAGACATACTGTGAAGATAAATGTGGAATATGGCCTAAAAACAAACAAATAAAAAAATAAATACAAATGAAAAACTAAGAAGAACCAGGCGGTGGTTGTGTATACCTTTACTCCCACAGCTCAGGAGGAAAAGACAGGTGGATCTCTGTGAGGTGGAGGTCAGCCTGGTCTACAGAATAAATTTCAGGACATCTAGGGCTACACAGAGATACCCTAGAAAAAAAATAAAACTAAACAAACAAAACACACACACAAGAAAAGAAGTTCTAAAGTGCTTTTTAGAAATAAGATTTTATCACTATTTTATTGTATTATTTCCAATTATGCTAATATAAAAGAATGATATTTATATACTGAAATTATTTTAAATACTTAAAACTATTAAGGGGAAAATGCATGAGTTTGGATTAAGTGACCTTTACATTCCCAAATTCTGAATTTTACTATTCTGTTAACAGACCAAAAGCTGAGAAGACTGAATAAATAGATCAGGGGTACTTCACTTGCTTGCCTCGCATGTATAAGATTCTGGTTTCCATCACTGAGGTAGGCCCTCCCAGCAACAAAGTATATCCAGAAGTGGTGGCCTAAGCCTCTAACCCCATCACTTTGGAAGCAGAAGTAAGCCTGTGAGTCCCAGGACAGCCAGGGGCCACAGAGACAAACAACAACAGCAACAAAAGGGAGATGGGGCATGAAGTCCAGGAAGTTCAAATTAGCCTTGACTACATACAGAGTTCGATACCATCCAGGGCGAAAATGACACTCTGTCTCAAAAAGTCAATAGCAACAATTCCAGGATTCAGATAAAAAGGAGATCATTAAAGAAATCAATATAAGTGCAGAGTCAAAACCAGACAAGTGTCTATAGAAAGCTCTACATGCAATGTTTGGGAAAAGACATCTGTAGCCAAGAGTGAATGTGAGACCTTCATCTAAAAAGGTGAGAATTTATTAACCCTGTAAACACATCCACACTGCACCATTTTAGTAATGGCATGTGGACACTACTGTAAAATATTTATGCTTCAAAGAGTAAAATTTCAGAGCGAATTTGCTGTGGAGTAGTCCTGTACACTGTGAAAGTGTGTTGCTCTCGTTGTGAATAAAAAGCTGATTGGCCGGTAACCAGGAAGTTGGAACAAGCAAACTAAGGACTAGAAGGAGGGCGGAGTCAGAGGAGTCGCAGGCCAGACGCAGCTCAGCGGGAGCAGGAGATGAACGTGCCCTGTTTATTAAGACACCACCACGTGGCAGAGCATAAATAAAGAATGTGGGTTAATTTAAAATGTAAGAGCTAATTTGCAATAAGCCTGAGCTGGCCGAGCATTTGTAATTCATATTAAGACACCGTGTAGTTATTCGTGAACTGGCGGTCGGGACAGGAAATCTCCACCTACAGGAACCCGAGCATTATGTCAGTAAAGGAGCTTCACGTTTCCCGTGTTTCCTCGTCCTAACAGCCTCACAAAGAATCATGGTCTACTCTAAAGCCAAATGCTTACCTCCCTTCAGAGCTCTGCAGAAAGAATAATCATCATCATATCCATGGCAAATAATTTCTTTGCGCACTGGTATCTTTACGGAGTTGACATGAACGGAGAGGCTGAAGTATAATTTTTTTAAGTCTCTTCCTTAAGAAAAAAATAGAGATCCCATTAGTCCCTCCAGTAAGGTGTACAGAGTGTTTGTTGTGCCCTTAGTGTGTGCCCTGTGCTCTTTTCCTACATTGCTTCCTCATGACTATCTATGAAGTTATTAGTATCTTTTTAAAAAAAAAAAAAGATGTATTTATTTACTATGTATACATTGTTCAGGCTGTATGTATCCGTGCACGCCAGAAGAGGCACCATTACAGATGGTTGTGAGCCACCATGTGACTGCAGGGAACTGAACGCAGGACTTTGGAAGAACAACCAGTACTCTTAACCGTTGAGCCATCTCTCCAGCCCCAAGGTTTAGTATCTTTTTTTTTATTATTATGTATACAATATTCTGTCTGTGTATATGCCTGAAGGCCAGAAGAGGGTGCCAGACCTCTTTACAGATAGTTGTGAGCCACCATGTGGTTGCTGGGAATTGAACTCAGGACCTTTGGAAGAGCAGGTAATGCTCTTAACCACTGAGCCATCTCTCCAGCCCAAGGTTTAGTATCTTTATTCCAGTAATAAAACTAAAGTTCTAAGAAGGCACCTTTGTAGAAAAATTGAATGTTCCACAGTGACAGCTATATAAAATATCCCCTCCCACCAAAAAAAAAAAAATTCTCAAATTATGACAACTACCAAAGATGTAAGATTTCTAGCTTTGGTGAGCTCATCCAGAAAATTAAAAGGACTGGGAATCATAAACTCATCAGCTTTTGGAGTTGGATGAGCAATGTCTAAAAAAGAGAATTGAAGACCAAGTCTATCGGTGCATTCCTTCAATTCCAGCACTCGAGATGCAGAGGCAGGCCCATCTCTCTGAGTTAAAGGCTAGCCTGATCTACATAAAGAGACCCTGGCTCAAATAAAATAAAACAATAAAAACAATAACAAGAGAAAGAAGACTGAAGCAGAAGGTTCACAAGTTGGAAACCTGTCTGGTCTACGGAGTGAGTTCAAGGCAAACCCTTGATAACTTAGACCTTGTTACTAAACAAAAAGTAAAAAGGACTGGGGTATTACACAGGTCAGAGGTACAGTGCTTGCCATAGCAAGTAGGATTTCAGTCCCCGGTAATAGGATAGGTAGATTGATAGATGATACATAGATAGATGATAGAGCATCTCCAGTAAACATACATGTTTCTGACTCTCCAGAGGTATTTATTTGTCCTAAGATGTATAGATGTATAATATTATATATATAATATTATAATTTTATATATATAATATTATAATTTTATATATATATAAATATAAAGACCCCTGAGGAAGGGAGACTCTTACTCACGTCTGGGGATAACACAAGCCCCCAGAAACTCACGAAAGACCGTCCTTGCTGCAATCACACAAGGTTTATTGACAGGACAGCCGCTGGGGCTGAATCTCATTTTCCACGCAAGGGTAGAGGAGTTCGACCCCAAGTAGCTGGAAGAGGAGGTATTTAGGGGAAAAAAACCACAACCCAAAGGGGGTAGGGAAGGTGTCATTGGAAAATTCTGAAAATACCAGTGGTAATCACAAGGGGGTAACTCCCCATTTCTCAAGATTATTCTCAAGATTATAATCTAACTTTATGATCAGCTAGTTCCTGGAACAGAGTCAGTGAACTGGCTAACCTAGATTTTTGGTTCTTCTCTCCCTGCTAGATTTTTGGCTCTACTCTTTCTGCTAGAGGGGTCTGAATTTATCCGGGCCTTTCAAAACATACATAGATATAGCTTTTTTAAAGACAGGGTCTCATTGTGTACCCTTGACTGTCCTGAAAACCATTAGGTAGATCAGGCTGACCTCATATTCACAAAGATCCACCTGCCTCTGCCTCTGAATGCTGGGAATAAAGATGTGATAAATTCATCATAAATCACTGTAGGACAATAAAAAGCAGTTTTTCCATCTTCAGACGGAACTTGGCTGTGCTTGACATAACTGCCAGATCCTTCTCCTGGCCCCTTTTTGAGGCTGGTTCTACCAGCTTGCTGCTGTCCACCCACATCTCCGATCCTCTGTGTCATTGAGTCTCCTCTCTTACGGTTCATCCTCAGCCCTCAGCTCTCACCCTGAACATTCTTCCTGGCTTTAGGTGCCACATGACCGTATACTATTCTACATCCTTAGACAAACGTTTCTCGGTTCCCTCACACAACAAACTCAAAGGGGATTCCCCATCATCAACATCAAACTGGTGTTATAGGAATCTTTCTGGAAAAGTCCTCCAACACCGAGACTGGAAGAGAGAGATCACAGTGGACTCAAGCCAGGACCCATCCTGTCTTCCAGCTGATCCTAGTTGGTCCTGCTTCCAGCTGCATCCTCATTTCATACCCTAAAACCACAGTAGGGTGGGCAAGCAAGCAAAAGGCATATGTGCAGTCAGAAGGGTGTGAAGGCCTGCAACCAATGGTTTCCGCCTTTTCTCCAGGTCATCCTGTCTCAGGCAGCAGGTGGAGTTGTGCTTGGCCAGTAGGCAGGACAAGCAGTGCTTTAAACAAAACACTAAACAAACCAGTAAATCTGCATTTAATAATTAATCTTTTTCTACTGTATTCTACTTCACTGGCAATAGAATCCCGTCCCACTAAATCTTACTCACCCCCTTTTTATTCCCACTGCCCTAGGGTCAGCAGAGGCAAATAGTACTCCAAGCCTGAAGACCACCAAATGGCCTACATTTTCTCCACATCGTTACTTCCTGGGTTAGGTGTGGAAAAATTATTATAGAACCAGTTAAAAATCTTTTTTTATTCATTTTATATTTCAACCACAGTTCTCCCTTCCACCCCTCCCCCAACACCTCCTTCCTACCCCCCCCCCATCTGCTTCACCTAAAGGGTAAGGCCTCCCATGGGGAGTCAACAAAGCTTGGCACATTAAGTTGAGGACCAAGGCCCTGCCCCCTGCATCAAGTCTGAGCAAAGCATCTTACCAAAGGGAATGGGCTCCGAAAGGCTAGTTCATGCACCAGGAATAGTTCCTGGGACCAGTTAAAAAAATCTTACAAAAAAAAAAAAAAAAGTTGGTCCCATGGACCCTCTAAACTCCAGAGTGTGTGTGTGTGGGGGGGGGGGGGGGGGTTGAAAAGATGATTCCACAAGGAATTCGAGAGTCACAGACCGGACTCTGTGGTGCGCACATGGCAGACAGCACTGCAATCCTGGATGATGTCAATGCAAAACAAAGAGCCTCTTTCTAGGCTCAAGAGGCCCAGCGTGCTTCCAGTTTCCAGGAAGTCCTGCTTTGACAGCTCAGTGGTCGTGGTCATGAGCCATGGCTGTAATGACATAACACTCCTGGGGCTTAGCTGGCCAAGGGCATCAATGTGAGTGGGAGGGGGGTAGGGGATGGGGATGAGGAACAGAGTGATCACCATGACAGAACAAGGTAAACATTTTTGAGTTTGCCCAGGACATCTCCAGGAATTGCCAGAAATAACACTGAAGGGACTGATCGACTGCACGGGTGTGTTCATAGGTTTGTTTCTGTTACACAAATACCGGCTAGCAAGCCTGAGAAGTACCAAAGATATCTCCGTTCCCACTCAGTTTTTGACTCAGGGTTATAACTATTGTTTGATCAAAAGCTTCCCTGACACCCCTATATCCAAGAACTCTGGGGTATTTGGATTGGAAGCGTTTCATCTTCCCCCCTCCGCCCCCCCCCCACACACACACACACGCTTTTCCCTCACCATGTGCCCCACTACCTGGGAGTGCGGCAGTAAACGTGGGCATTCATTTGGTCTAATTTGGTCTGACTGGAATTATTTGCATAGGCAGAGAGGCTCGTTTTAAGATTATTCCTAATAGATGGAGGTTTCCCACAGCGGGGCCTGTTTTTCCCACGGGCTCAGCGCCACGTGCTGGAAAACGCCCTTCTCATGTGCTCTCTGCCAGGCTAACATCGGCTTCGACTCAGTGAGTTCCCATTTTGGAGTTACATGGCCGGTAGGATCGGTGGGGGGGGGGGGGGGGGGGGATTCACATCTATTTTTGTCGATTTTCGGATTTTCCGATAAAGTCGCGGCTGTGCTGGAAGTCCAATTCACGCGGTAAGCCATGCCTCACCGAGATTAGACTTCGGTGTGTTTGGAGATGTCCACTCACTCGTTCGTTTCTCATGCACCCCCGTTTTGACTCAAGAGCACTGTACGGTGGACATATTGCCACAGGCTTGAGTCCCACAATTGGCTTGGGTTTCTAATGGGTCCTTGCGATTCCAAGCCGATTATGCAAATGCCCTTGGGCGGCCTTTCACAAAAATCCTTTTAAATTGGGACTAACATCTAATGTAAAGCAAACAAGGCTCCACAGCTGGCGGCAGTATCTAGATGCGTGCTCCCGCCTGCTCCCCTCCCTCCCACTTCCTTCCCCTCTCCCTGCTTCTGGAAGCTGTTTTTATGATCCTTTTTGAGTTGGAAACATGACCTCACCAAACTCATGAACTCAAGCAATCCTCCTACTCCTGTCCCATATGACTACAAGGGCTTAGCACATGCTGGCCTCTTGCTTTTCAAAGGTCTCAGATCTGCACTCCAGCTCAATCCCTGCACGCCTTCTCTAGTCTGCTCTCACAAGTATGTATCCCTCAACACTACCCCCAAATCATCTAAATTTTTAATCCCTTCTTGGACTCCGCCTCTGTCCAAGTGCTGGGATTAAAAGCAGATACCACCACGCCCAGTTTCTTTCTCAACCAGCCTTTTTCCTTATGAACTACGATCTGAGGAAGAGGGAATGTTTCTTTAAGCTTATCTACAAGATACTAGACATAGTGGACAGACATATAATCCCAGCACTGGGGAGGGAGAGAAAAGAAGGCTGCCACAAGTCCTAGGCCAATTTGTGCTGTGTCGTAATTTTTAGACCAGCCTGGGCTACATAGTGACACCTTGTCTCAAAAGCAGAAGGAAAGAGAAAAATAACAACAACAAAAAAGTATTGGTATTAGGGAGATGGCTCAGTGGTTAAGAGTGTTCTTCTAAAAGACTGAAATTCAGTTCCTAGCATTTACCCACCCATCTCTAACTCCAGTTCCATGGAACCTAACACTCTGCTCTGGCCTCCGTGGGCACCCACACATATGGTAAACACACAGATAAATATATATACATGTACCTAAGTAAAATAATGAAAAATCTGTCTTTTATAAAAGCTTGTTCTTCACATCGTAGCACTCTGAAAAGTATAAAATGTGTTCCAAGTCTATGCCGAGAATGAAGACCATAGTGCTAAAGACCAAAATTATATTTCCTGAGAGCCAGACTTGCACGCCTTTTATCCCAGCACTCGGGAGGCAGAGGCAGGCACATCTCTGTGAGTTCAAGGCCAGCCTAGTCTACAGATGGAGTTTCAGGACAGTAAGGTTTATACAGATAAACCAAGTCTCAGGGGAGGAAAATCACAGATTTTTCCAACTGAAACTCAGTGTCTCTCACACCTGAATGGTTGACAAGGGCCATACATTATTAGAAGGTTGAAGTTGTTCCCATTTCTAACCTATGTCCTTGTAAAACCCTCCATATGCCTGTGAGTTGGTCTAAAATACAGCAAAAATGACAGATTATCACTTCCTTGATCAAGCCATTTAATGCTCTTCCATCTTGTTATCCTTTGCCAGTTTTGATGAATCAAGCAGCTCCGATAATAAAGTCCATGTAGCCAACAGCCAGAATCCAGAAACTGCTACCAACAGCCACACGAGCTTAGAAGGAGTTCCTTCCATAGTCGACCCCAAACGTGGTCAACATTTTGATTATAGGTTATGGGGGCCCCCGGACAACATGGGTAAGCCATGCTCAGACACCATCACACAAAGACAGTAGGTAAGTACTGTGTAGAAGCCACTGGACTAAGAGTGTGGTAACTTACAGTATAGCAGTAGATAACAAACACAGATGTGCTTGGAACAGAGTCATTCTGGTTGAATTTCTACAGCCCTTCAGCTAATTAACAAAAATGAAAGTTTGTATTTGTACTTACTTGGAATGAAGTTAACATATACAAATCCGCGGGTTCCCTTCAATGTTATACAGGGTTCAGAAGTAATCAAAATGGGGTAAGATTTCATGTTATCTAAAAAGAATAAGGAAAACTTTAACATGATTGTAAATAACTTCCAGTAAATATGGCATTCTGAGTATCAGTCCCCAAAGGATGATTTTTGTGTTCAAAATTATAATGAGAACAATTGAAGGTCATTGAAAATCTCTCTCTCTAGAGCACTGACAGTTGTAGTACAGTTGAAGAAGAGGACCCAGGTTTTCCCTCAAGTACAAACTCCATGTGTAAAAACCCAGAAAATAATGAAGTCTCCAGCACATGCAAACACACAAACTGTACTCAGTAGTGTCTCTACGAAGATTCGGGACATGCTCTCTTGAGAGTCCCTGACCCCAGCAGCACCATACAATTAAGAAGCCTCTCCAATCCCAGTCTCACCTGCATGCTCAGTACCCTAACTCTTCCAGTTCAGCTCCCAAAGCACTGACTTCCAGGCTGTGCATCCTGGAGTTCTGATAGTCCGCACAGTCTAGTTACACCATCAGAGCCGACAGACACTACTTCGCTCCGCGTGTGCGAAGACCGAAACTGCCAGTTCTCAGCTTTTCCATGATGAGAGGAAGAATTGATATAGTCTTCGAATTAATACCCATCTCACTAATCCTGGAAGTCTAATGAGTGTGGGTGACAGTGAAGGGAGCAGGCAAAAGCACCTTGGCTTGAGTACTGCCATTTTGACTTCACACTCCATTTTATCTGTAGGGTGGGAAACAGTTCAAGTTCCTAAGCCATATGGAAGCTGAGAACTTTCTAATGGCGGAACAACATCCTTCCTAAGCCATATAAACAGTCTATTATCCCCCTTAGTTCCTATTATGGCTGTTCCTAACACAGAAATAAAACAAATGAATCCGATTGGTTGGACTAAAACACTCCCATTTTGTGTCCATTGATAATGATGGAACACGCAAGGAAAGTTCCTAATTTTTGGCTTCCGATTGGTGAAAATTATAACTGTAACTTGGCAATAACTTTATGATTTTTTTGTACTTTTAAACCCCACTTTTGCCCCTACTCAGAGCTGCCAGAAGAAACAAGGCTCTGAAGTCCTTGTCCTGCAGCCCTGATCCATCAGTGACCTGCCTGTGTGGTGATTTATTAGACTCTCTATTTTTTTTTTATTTATTTATTTTTTGCTTTTTCGAGACAGGGTTTCTCTGTGGCTTTGGAGCCTGTCCTGGAACTAGCTCTGTTAAACCAGGCTGGTCTCGAACTCACAGAGATCCGCCTGCCTCTGCCTCCCGAGTGCTGGGATTAAAGGCGTGCGCCACCACCGCCCGGCTATTAGACTCTCTAGAACCCATAAGTGTTGTCTTTCTCCTTCGTCATGGCGTGCAACAGGGTGGAACAACACAATCTATCTTCTTGGGGTAAAAGATGTTGCTAGAATTGGTGGGTGTCAGTCCAAAATAAATTCAAGTCAGCAGAGGGACAAAGATCAATGTCAAAATGCATGCCTAGCCATGCTCAGTTCAGGCCCAGCACTACTAAATAAATAAATCTATGAAAAGTAAATAAATAATTCAAGTGAGTCCGCCAGCATCTTTGGGACAAACTGTTTATTCATCTTTGTTTTGTGAGACAGGATCTTACTCTCTAGCATAGGCTGTTCTAGGACTCACTATGTAGACCAGGCCTCAAAATTGCAACAATCTTCCTGCCTTGACCTCATGAATGCTAGAATTAGAAGCATGAAACACCATGCCCAGCCGGGCGGTGGTGGCACACGCCTTTAATCCCAGCACTCGGGAGGCAGAGGCAGGCGGATTTCTGTGAGTTCGAGACCAGCCTGGTCTACAAGAGCTAGTTCCAGGACAGGCTCCAAAACCACAAAGAAACCCTGTCTTGAAAAAAGAAAAAAAAGAAAAAAAAAAGAAAAGAAACACCATACCCAGACTAAGTGGGATTTTTCGTGGACCTTAGAAAGTTACTATAAAAGCCAGGCTTGGCGGGATAAGCTTTAATCTTAGCACTCCAGAGCCTGAGATGGGAGAATCTCCATGAATTTTAAGGCTAATCTGGGCTAGCCTGCACTACAGAGTGAGTTCAAGGTCATCTTGAGTTACAGTGAAATCCTGCTTCAAAAACCACTTCCTAATATTATTACAGCAACAAATAGATTTGACGTGAGTTTGTCAGAGCATATACATCCAAAACCATAGCATCCCTTCAGCGAGCCAAGGAAAATCCAAATGTACCAAAATCTTGATTTTTGAATTCCAGATCAGTCCATAATAAATGTTTCTTATTTCAGCCCCCCAAACTATAGTGGTTGGGTTTTTTGTTTGTTTGATTGTTCTTTTGTTTTGGTTTGTTGGTTTTGGGTTTTGGTTTTTCCTGACAAGTTTCTCTGTGTAGCCTTGGTGGTCCTGGAACTCTCTCTGTAGACCAGGCTGGCCTTGGATTCCCAGAGATCGGCCAGCCTCTGTCTTACAAGTGTTGGGATTAAAGGCGTGCAGCACCATGCCCGACTCCATAGTGATTTGTTCCGACAAGTCAAAATCACTAACCCTGACCAGAAAAGACACGTCTCTTCTCTTTCTAGGAAATGATCCTCACAGTAAGGACTGAATCAGCTGTCACCATAACTAGCACTCACCTGCCAATTCTAGAGGGATTAACCCTTCAAAAGGGAGGTATTTCTGTCTTAGTGGACTCTCCAAGGCACAGGAGGGATAACGTTGTAGGAAGGCAGCAGCCTGTGGGCTTCTAGAGACCCCTTTGCTTTCTTTCTAGCCTGTGTCGGGGGCTCCAGGGAAGGTCCAGGACTTGTTGGTGTTACAGAGCAAAGGGGCAGGTTCTATCTCAGAAAGTCTCACCAGAAGACAGAGGAAGCCAGGTGTGTGTCCGGTGTGGTATCCCATGCCTTTAGTCCCAGAATTCAGGAAGCAGAGTCAGGCAGGTCTCTTAGTTTGAAACCAGCCTGGTTACATACCAAGTTCCAGAACAGCCAGAGCTACATAGAGAGGCTCTATATCAAAAGACAAACCACAAACAAAGACAAAGGGATCCAAATTGTTACTAAAAGAGTATAGATGAATAATAATATGTATTATACATTACTAATAGGCATATGACGAGTCACTATGTAGCACCAAAGAGGCAGATTCGGAACTGCACAGGTGGCTCAGAGGTTGAGCTCCAGCCTAGGATCCACCCACATTAGTCTGCTCAAGTAGCCTGTTAACTCCAGTTCCAGGGAATCTGATGTCCTCTTCTGACTTCTGGGGGCACCAGCATGCACATGGTTCACATATATACCCAGAACATACACACACACAAAGATAAATAAACTGACAGAAGAGGGGGCCAAAAAGGAGAGAAAAATAAAGGTTAGCAGACTGGGGACTTTCCTAATGGCCCAGAAGTGAACAGCTATTAACCGCAGTCAGCGAGCTTCATAAGCCAGTCCCCCAGGAAACGCTGTGACTGTGCAGCCCTCAGTACTGCAGTTCTCAAGGGACGTCTCTAAAGTCCCTGCAGCACTTCCGGACCTCAAGCTGCAGATGTTGCTTTTCTAAGAACTGGCATTTCAGAAGGCATCACCTCCCAACCATCCGATATTTCGAGAGGCGGCAAAAATGGACAACCAACGGAGTGATCAACAAAAGAGAAAACAGACTGAAACAGTCCCCAAGTCCCTGTGCTAGGTCTTCACAAACCAGGCGTCTGCTAGCTGTGCAGTGACAGGGCATTAATTAGAAGCCAGTAGCATCAGAGTTTAGCTCAACTGAAAAATATTTGCAGTTCTAGCCCTGGGGAGGTTGGGGAAACAAGGAGCTTGCGTTTGAGGCCAGCATAGAGTGTATAGTGAGTTCCAAGCAAAAATAAGCAAATAACTCGAGAGGCAGAGGAAGGGGGATTTCTTTGAGTTCCAGGCCAGTTTGGTCTCTATTGCAAGTTCCAGGCTAGCCCAGGGCTATATACTGATATCCTGTTTAAAAAAATAATAGTAAAATATGCGGGGTGTGGTGACTCACACCTTTAATCCCAGGAAGTAAGGGCAGACAGATCTCTGTGATTTCTAAGCCAGCCCAGCTCCAGGCCAACCACCACGGCCACATAGTGAGACCCTGTCTCAAAACAAATTATAGAGTAATAATAATAGTAATAATAATAACCGCATAAATCCAAAAATCAATCTTACTTTTTATAAGTGACTCTTTGGTAAAATTCTTAACTCTAGCAAGCCTCATAAAGTGAACTCTAAAATCACTTTCACTTTGCAACTAAAAAAAAATGAGGCAGAGAATGCCTAAAAATTGCTGAAGATCATACAGTTGGTGAAAGAGAGAGATCAAGCTAACAACCCAAAAACAGAGATGCTCGATGAGCCCTCTAAGACCACCGACTGGAGCAGAAACCCCCACTGGGGAGCAGCTCCCATTCTGCCTCCCTAGGAGGAACCAGTTTGTCGGGTCTGGGACTCTGAAACAAACAATTCCACTGGAACTGAGAGCTCAGCAACGACAGAAACACAGGAGCTAAAAACACACGGTTCAGATCAGTAAGGAGAACGAGACGGGATGGGGGGTGGGGGTGGGGACCCACATCCGGAAGTGGTCGATCGCTCCACCCCGACCCCATCCCCATCCCCACCCCAGACCTCAGCAGCCCTCACAGCTGGAGTCGCAGAGGCTTTCTCCCGGGCCCTCCGGTAAAACAGCTGGAGCTGCAGTTAGTTGCTGCCGATCTCTTACCGCAGTAGGTGTAGGAAATAGTCGTGTCGGAGGAGTTGCAGAACCACTGTTGCTCAGATTTGGCAAACGTGGGAGGAAGCAGCGTAGAGAAGAGAATAAATGGCAACATGATGTGATATCGCCAACACTTTACACACGCAAGGAAGACCATCGGACTCGACAGTAAGGAGGAAAGATTCGACTTAGTCACCAGTCATGTGATTTCAAAGTTCCCATCCAACTGTTTCCTCTTTTTAAGCTTGTGTGACTGTTTGTATACTTGTTTTTACTCTCTGAGCACTTCCTGCTGCAAGGCAAGTGAGAAAGACCGATCTAGAATATACTGTTTCTGAACACTTAAAGTAAATCAAAGTAATTAGCACTTCAACATACAGCGAGTTTTCAGTGAGACCAAATGTCCTACTGGAGACGCTGTCTAAAATCAACTGAACCGGGCATAGTGATGCACACCTTTAAACCCAGCACTTGGGAAGCAGAGGCAGGTGGGTTTCTGTCAGTTCGAGGCCAACCTATCTACCGAGTGAGTTCCAGAACAGCTAGGGCTACCTAGTGAGACTCTATCTCTAGAAATGAAGTCCTCTTCAATCCAAGAGAAGATACACTACTTTTCTGTGTACACATTTTTCTCTACAGCAAGTTCATACAGTGATTCTTCCTGGCCTGAGCCAGTTGGTCTCTTGAAAACAATTTCGAACCAACGACAAACAGGTTCAGCCACAAAACAGACAGGCTAGATGATACCCCCCACATGGTCACGTCCGCTGCATTCCCAGCTGAGACATCACCAATCTCTAGAGCACACACAAACGGAAGCTGAGCTTGAGGCAGTGGTGTTGAAGTGGAGTGGACTGGGTTTGGCTTTGCTGTGCATGGTAACGAGGGCTCTTCCACTGAGTAACATTTTGAGGCAAAAGTTTGAATCCCAATAATGAAATGCCATTGCTTTGTTTTGGCATCTATTTCACGTCAGGACTCTGTTTTAGTCAAATGCCTCTTCCTTCAGCCGCATTGCTACTTCATCCTTTGTAGGATCTCGGTGTAGGATTATCAGCCAAAACAGCTTGGAAATGTGGCCTGCAATCCTGGTCTGCTGGTAACATTGAACAGCCCACACAGACCTGTGAAAGTAGCAAGGAAACTTTATTTCAAGCAAAGCAATAGAAAAGATCAGAATGGGACTGGAGAGACGACTCACTGGTTAAGAGCACTGGCTGCTCTTCCAGAACTACCTGGGTTCAGTTGCCAGCACATGGCAACAATTCCCACATGGCAGCTCACAACTGTCTGTAACTCCAAGATCTGATACCCTCACACAGACATGCATGCAGGAAAAAAAATCAATATACACAAAATGCACATAAAATAAAAATAAATATTTAAAAATCAGAATATAATGCAAGACAGCAATGATCCATGTGAGGCCATACCAAGCTATAGTCTGGGACCCCTTATGGGGCTAAAGGAAGGAGGAGTTTGCACTAAGGGGCATAGTGTTGATGGTTCTGTATTTTGATTGATAGATTATGTCACAAAATAATTTTCCTACTACACATTCCCCTTCCTATAATGCATCTGATTTTGATTATATGTATACCCAAATATGCATTAGCGTAAGATGGTAAATAGGAGATTCCTCCTAAATATTCACTTACAGGACACAATTTTTCTTAGTGAGCATGTGTCCAAATCCAGTTCAAGCCAAATAGGATTTTCCATTCTTTGTACTGTATACACTGGGAGTATATGTGAATAGAGACTGTCTAAGTCTGATGGCTGTAAGGGGAGGACATACATATCCCATTATTCATAGAAGGGTGTGTGTGGATACATAGGTGGATACCCAAGGTTGCTGGGTGCATTGTTGGGGGGGGGGTGCCCAGTACACACAGGTAAAGGAGCTAGGCTGCCAACTCTGTTGTTAGAAAGGGGGGGTTGCCCAGTACACACAGGTAAAGGAGCTAGGCTGCCAACTGTGTTGTTAGAAGGGGGGGTAATACATAACCTAATCCAAATAGAGCCTCAGGTTACTAGAATATTCCTTATGCTTACCTGCCTCGCTGTACACGTAAGAAAATATTTCGATAAAAAGATTTACACCTAGAACTGCACCTTTCTATTATTTTTAATAATTGGGGGTGGGGCCCTCACTCATGTGTGGAGGTTGGACAGCTTCTTGTGGGAGCTGGTTTTCTTCTACCACATGAATTGAAGGTGTTCTATTTAAGTCATCAGGCTTAGCAACAAGCAGCTTTACTCACTCAGTCCTCTCTCTCTCTCTTTCTCTCTCTCTCTCTCTCTCTCTCTCTCTCTCTCTCTCTCTCTCGCTCACACACACACACACACACACACACACACACACACACACTATATAGCTCTGCCTGGCCTAGAACTCACTATGTAGACCAGGTTGGCTTGGAACTCACAGAGATTTACCTGCCTCTACCTCTTGAGTGCTTGAGTTTGACACATATCCACCTTTCTTATACTTCAAAAACTACAGAGTAAATTCAAGAACAGCCTGGCCAACTTATGCAGAAGGCCCAGCAAGATGGCTCAACAGGCAAAGGTACATGCTACCTAACCTGGTAACTTGAGTTCAAGTTCTAGAACTCACACGGTGGAAGGAGAGAACCAACGTCTGCAGGTTGTCCTTGACTGCTGCATGTGTGCTGCCGCATGCACGTGTGAAATAATCAGTCTTCTACAATGCAGAGGCTGCAGAGATGTCTCAGGGAGTAGGAGTACTTGCTGTTCTTCTGAAGACCCAGGTTTGCTTCCTTAGTTAGGGTTTCTACTGCTGTGAAGAGACACCATGACCACAGAAACTTTCGTAAAGAAAAACATTTAATTCAGCTGGTTTACAGTTTCAGAGGGTTAGTCCATTATCCTCATGACAGGACATGGCAGCATGCAAGCAGACATGGTGCTGGAGAAGGAGCTGAGAGCTGAGAATTCTACATCTTGATCCATAGGCATTATTGTAGTAATAGGAGCGGCGGGACTGCGTCCCCAGCACCCCGGCTGCCTGCTCGGCTAGCTTATGCCCCGAAATAATTACATGGACACTGTATTCTTTTAAACACTGCTTGGCCCATTCTCTTCTAGGCTAATTCTCACATATTAATTTAGCCCACTCTAATCATCTGTGTGTAGCACCCCAAGGTGCGCTTACCGGGAAGATTCTAGCCTATGTCCATCCTGGGTCGGAGCTTCATCCCGGGAGCGGGGCATGGCGTCTCTCTCAGGCGTCTGCTCCTGAGAGGAGAGCTTTCGAGTCTCAGAGCTCACTTCCTCTTCCTCCCAGCGTTCTGTTCTGTTTATTCCTCCCACCTATCCTCTAACCAATAAAATGGGCCAGGGCAGTTCCTTTATTAGCCAATGACCTTCCTCCATCACATTATGAAGTAAACTGTATCACTGGGCATAGCTTGAGCATAAGAGACCTCAAAGCCTACCCTCACAGTGACACACTTCCACCAATAAGGCCACACCTACTCCAAAATGCCACACCTCCTAGTAGTGCCACTCCCTTCAAACCATCACAGTTCCCATATCTGGCAATTCACAATAGCATGTAACTTTAGCTCTAAGGGAGTCCAGTGTCCTCTTCTGATCACTGTGGGAACTACATTCATGTGTGCAAATATACACATACAGAGACACATAAACATATAATGCTTAGAAAATTTACTAGGCAGTGGTAGTATATGCCTTTAATTCCAGCACTTGTGGGGCAGAAGTAGGCAGATCTCTGCAAGACTGAGGTCATCCTGGTCTACAGAGCAAGTTGCAGGACAGCCAAGGTTACACAGAGAAACCCTGTCTTGAAAAGCAAAGATAGATAGAAGATAGAAGATGGATGGATGGATAGATACATAGATAGATACATAGACACATAGATAATTGGTGCTTTATCTGAGACATAGCTCAGCAATAACAAGCATTGGCTCTTGCCAAGGGCCAGGGCTCAATTCTCAGCAACTACATAGAGGCTTACAACCATCTGTAACTCCAGTTCCAGAGCAGGGTATTCAATGCCCTCTTCTGAACTCCATGGACACCAGACACACACAAGGTACAAAAACATACATGCACACAAAACAACCATACACATAAAATATGTTGATTGCCTTTGGGTGGGCTACTCAGTCTAGGATTAGTAACCCACTTGGCAGTCAGTTATTCCAGGATCACGGAGAGGCACTACCTGGAAGATATGGGCTAGGAAAGCGGAAGGAGGCTAAGCGAGAATTCTTGTCAAAGCCTCCGTTTATTAGAGACGGGGTACAACTTTTATAGGGTAAAGAGTTGGGGGGTGGGCACAGGGGCCTGGGCTCTTGCCGCGTGGTTCACGTTGGTCACATGGTCCGAGCTGGTCACGTAGGCAGGAGGTTATCTTCGGTCAGGTCACTGTAGGCCAAGAAGTCACGAGTTGACACACCTAGATCCCTAGATAGTTTGGAATGTGGGGTGGGTTCCGCTAACAGATAGCTCTCATTAACAGCCAATTTGGGTGTGGGGTAGGCTCTGTCAATAGAACTATTCTTAACACAATAAGGGTGTGGGGTTCTCTGCAGACTCCCCAGTGTGATGGTTCCTGTAATGATTTTACGAGGAAATTGGCTCCTGACAGATCCCCCTTTCTTTTATAAAGACAGGCAGCTATTAAGTGAAGGGCATCAGGTCAGAGTCCAACCACAGTGTCAGATCCAAAGGAGAAGGGACTGGGACAGGAGAGACCCTCCTCTCAAATGGTGAAGCAATTTACCTCTCCTGGGAACAGAGGGGTGCCTTATGATTCTTAGGTCGAGTGGGGACCAGGTCTTTATCCCCCTTACCCGTCCTAGGATTCCCAGTATCCTGTATTAGGTTGGGGGATTTCCTGCCACAAGTCACCCATCCTTGGAGCTCCTCAAATGAAAGGTATCTAGCGAGATTTAAAGTAAACAGATCACAGGGCACCCTGTCTTAGGCTATGTGGAGGGCACTCCTCGTGCCTGGCACCATGCCATTGTTGAGCCGGTTTCTACAACCTCTGTATGGTGTGCTGTTCAGGCGAGGATCCACACTAACTCCCATCATTGGGCCCCTGCGTCTATCATTAATAAAAAGGCTGTGAGGAGCTCCTCAAACAAAATATAATGATATAATTTTGG